TGATTAACTCAGACTAAAGTGATTTTATTTCTTAAAGGCAACCCGTCAGTGGGTTTCACGGTTCTGACGGTCAAACCAGACTGTTGTTGTGGAATAGACGATAATTATTAATCGACTATTTTATGAATAAATAATGAGAACAATACAAAGGACAGAACAATGTGCAGCAGAGTCAGACGGACAGAAGAACTTTTATTCAGCCTGTTTTGATATTTTTAATTTGCACAAATAGGACTCAGAGCAAAATCCAGAGAGCAGAAATTTACTTTCATTTAAGGACAAAACAACAAAGAGCAGAAAAAGAAAGAAAAGACTGATGAAAGCAAAGAACAGAACAACAGTGAAACAGGGTTCTCAGGCCGGAGAACGTTTGGAGAACCTGGTTTTCTGTCTCTGTAAGGAACCAACCAGTGAAACTTGATTTGTACTTTTCAGTTTAAAGTTGTGCAGACGACACAAGAACAGAACGGAGATCTCAAACCAGAGAGTCTGAGTAAAAGACACCAAAACGAGTCCAGTTCAAAAACAAGGAAATGAAAGTAAAGCGTTGGAACGTGTCTCCTCAGGTTCTCCGCTGCCCACATGGATCTCCAGCTGCTGCGCTCTGAGTTCTCCAGCGGGTTGGACGGACGACGCAAAGACACCAAGAACAAGCAGCAGTGAGGCAGGAGACGGAACGCAGGAACGTTCTGCACAGAACCGCCGCTGCACAAACACAAGAACTGACTGACTGAGAACCTGAAAACTCAAAGAACCACACCAGAGAACCCGCAGCTGACACACAAACAGCTTCATGTCTTGGATTAAATCTGTTTTTCTGTGAAATAAAAGTTGATTTTTCCACAAACCTGCAGCAGCTGATTGAAGCAAACAGACCAGCTGACACCGTGGAGCTCTCTGATTGGCCGAGGACTCCGAGGTGTCGGGTAGCGCTGAGGTCGAGTCGACACTGACTGCAGCTACTCGACAAACGGAGAGACGCTGTGTGTGTCTGTTTTGTGTTCTGACATCTTTCGTCTCTGCAGCATTCAGGTTTTTGCGTGGCAGTAACACAACCTGCTGCTTCAGGAGGCCACGCCCACAGAGGCCACGCCCACAGAGGCCACGCCCACAGACACACCAACGGGTCTCCTCGCTAACGGTCTGTTGAAGCAGAACCGAATCCTCGTCTGCACAAACTTTTCCGTGAATCTAAAAGCGTTTCCAGTTCTGCTTTTTAACAGCATCAATAATTCAGCCGACATTAATATTTCATCAGCTGATCGCAGAGTAAACGTCGGATTGTGAAGGAGGCGGCTGATTGGACGACAGACGGCTGGAGGAGGAGCCAATCAGGCAACGTTTTGATCACCCATGAGCCATGCTGCTCCTCACGCTTTTATTGTGAAAAGGTGTGGCGCAGCAGGTGAAGCTGAACCACAGCAGAGACTCAGAACGGCCACAAGAAAGAGAACGAGAGCGACGGAACAACAGATTGTTTATTAAAACCTCTTAGACACACAAAACAAGGAAAGAGCTGCACAATGAACACAAACGGACACAAACCCAGACAAAAGAACCACACAGTCACTCAAAATAAACACCAAGAGACACAAACTGAACACAAGCAGACACACGAGCGCTCGGACACAAACGGACCAGAACCAGATTAAACGCACTCAAAGAAACGCACACTGAACACAAACCAACACCAACTGAGCTCAGACAGAACCAGTCGTGTGTCTGGTTCTAAAAGTGGAGTTTAAGCTTTCCGTCACAGCTCAGATCATGTGAACAGCAGCTGGTTCTGGTTCTGGCTCACCAGCTGATGGGTTTCTATTAGTTTGTTGTTCCCTGTATGTTCTTATGGTCAGCAGGTTCCAGCTGTTGGTGCTTTATGATGACCGCTGATCATAATTATGACTTCAGTTCTCTCTGATAAAAACTCCACAAACAAGTCAAAACAGCAGGCTCCGGGTCAGAACCAGCCGGTCCAGTCGAGTCCCTGTTAAAAACCTGAAGAACAGAACTGGGACGAGTCAGTTTGATACGAACCTTTCTTCAGCTTCATTCACGTCACAGAAGAAACAAAACGTTCACATCTTTCCTTGTTTATTTCAAATTTAACAAACTAAATAAAACATGTCCAGACGGTTCTGGTCCAGACGGTTCTGGTCCAGAAGCTTCTCTCTGAACTCAGTTTATCTTCTGCTGTTGTCGTGTTTCTGAGAAAATGCAGCTAAAGTCACGATAAAGATGAAAACACGATCTTACAGCCGACAGACGTCCTGAAAACGTCTCAAAGTGCCCTGCAGGACCCAGTGCTCCCAGTCCTCCCACTGGGCTGCTGCTGTCAGCGGGGGTCGACGTGGGTGAGGACGCGGGGCAGCAGGGATGGGGTAGGGTGGTGGTGGTGGGCGTGGCCTCGGTACAGGTAGAGGTCCAGAGTGGGAGGGGCTGGAGGGTACAGGTAGTGTGGAGGCAGAAACATCCTGCCGGCTTCAGCCAGGAGCTCCAAACCAGCAGCCGACTGACGCTTCCACTTAGTCCTGACGAGACAAACCAGAGTTAACAGGAAGTAACCACAGTAACCAGGAAGTGTCCAGAATTAACAGGAAGTAATCAGAGTTAACAGGAAGTAACATAGATATGTATAATAAAGGCTACATGTCTTAGGGCGGAGTCTCAAACAGGATCACTGGCGGCCATCTTGCCACAGGGCAGCTCTCTGGTGGAACCTGTGGTCCATGAAGGAAGGTGAGCGATCTGCACAGACGTAAATCCTCTGATCTCGCTGGAATCTTGACGGATTTACAAACGCTTTCTTACAAACGTTATTAACGTGGCAACAATTCAAATTACAAAAATACACATAAAATACACAATAATTAAAACACTAATTGTTGCTGGCAGTAAGAGTGTAACATCATTATCCATCAGTGCAGCGTTATAACTACACCTCTGACGTTTAGAACAAACCAAACAGTTTGAAAATCGCTAGAACACTGAGCAAGTTCTGGTTGTTTAAAAAGTCCATGCACCACTACAACACACTGCTATGGGTGAGCGAGCGCACCGTATCAAGATGGCCGCCAGTGTGGCCGTGCGATTCCATTGGCCGACAGC